GTGTCCTCTAGATTGCATTTCCTGTCTTTTAGTGTCTGGGGGTTCAACCACGGTGTAGCTAGTATTGGCTATAGCCGTGGATCGGTATGATCAATATAAAGAGGTTAGGTTCAGAAGTCAGAACTCGGTATTCAAGATGGAAGATTGAGAAGCGAGTGGAACTGACTATTGTGCAACAACGCGAAGTTGGCAGGTGTACACTGACCAAGTCTACCCTGTTTTACTTCCTCATGGGGTCTTTGGGACTTACAGGGAGATGTTGCGAATGGTCCGACTCCGATTTGGATGTAATTTGACAGGATTAACCCATTTGCATCATGAATCTACTTAGGGTGCCAAATTCTGATGACTGATCCATATCAGCACTTACTCATAATGACAGTTAAAAATATTTTCACAACAAAAGTGAAACTTATTAAGAATATAATGAACTGATGTAGGTGAGATGCTCACAAAAGGGATCAAACGTGATCTGTGGCATATGAAGATTATTCAGCAACTGATAATGGAAAAGAGTCAGCTCGCGGATTATTTCGTGTTCAGTGACAGAAATAGGTTAAAGAACAGTGAAAAAGATTAGACACGAAGCTTTCTCAGCTACGATAATCAAATTTATGAGGATAAATCACGCTCCAAGCATCTACTCTTATTGATATAATACTTGTCAATAATGTCCCTTCACTTGCTATTTCATAACCTTCATTCATATTTTATAATCTCCTGCTAGATTGTAGTTCATCCCTGACCTAATGGTCTCTATTCTTTCCCCTTTTATATACTGTCAAGCGTTTATGTTTGGAAGGGTCAAGGATTAGCCTGATTTCGACAATACAGTTACTCGGATTGCAACAGCATAGTTAGCTGATTTACAACAGTTTAGCTAGTCGGTTGGTTGATTGTTAGTTGGTTGATGGCTAGTGAGCCAGCCAGCCCATCAGTCGCTATATCGGCTAGCCGTTTTAGTCTGAATCGATAGTCATTGCGTCTGGTCTTAACGTCGATTGCATATATTCCAATATTGTTACGTATAGCGTGTCCCGTTTGAAACTTGGCACTGAATTATTTCCTAATTTCAATTCGTTTTGAAAAATATTTCTAATGGAATTGATCCTGGTTTCTTACGATGATCAAAAATATTTGCGAGGTGGGCGCGCTTTCGAGATTTAAAGGTGACCTTGGTTTTTTTTGAAGCGAATATGTATCATTTTCTAAATAAGAGGATAGCGAATTTCAGAGTGAACTCATTGTTCTATAATACTTGGTTTTTGAAGGTCGTTCATGGTCATTTAATGCTGTTTAAAGTTCACCTTCGTACATTCAAAAATTATTTCTCGGAATAATTAGAATAATAAGTAGAATAATAAAGATTTGAACAAAAATCACGAATATTGTACCCTCCTCTACTATACGAAAGATTGACAGCTTCGTGGACAAAATGGCTGTAGCCCCATACAATCAATCGCTGTTTCTGATCAATCGGACGACTGTAGTTACCTTGTTTTAGAGATTTTTGTCGCTAGTATTTAGCATAATTACATCGTACGATGTCTAAACACGATACCAAATCCATTAACCATCAGGAACACGTCAAACGACTCTAAATTTGGATAATCAAGCGATACCAAGCCTCTAACCTCTAACTCGACGTACTAATTTCCTCGTTAACTCAGCCTCTAACTCTGCTCACTCGTTAACAATCATTCCAGTTAACTAAGGTCTATGCCGAGAACAGGTTACCACCTTTTTCTCGTCCAGGGCACACACAAAACCCCTAACTGGACCTACTATCGTTCCCAATAACTCAGCCTCTAACTCTGCTTACTCATTAACACTAGAACTACCAACTCAGTCAAAATAAAATCCCAGAATTTTCCTTTTTGCAATCACCGAACACGTACACCTGCTTTAAGAATAAAATTGGTATCAACTCGTATTAAGAAAGAACTGTAATCAATATATTCACTCATATTCATCGTATCGCTGAAATTACTATAATCTGTGCACGTTATAGTTAGGTACCCATTAAAAATCGGTAGTTTTAGTGTTAACAATCATCCAGTTAACTAGAGTCTATCTAGAGAACAGGCTACCACATTCTTCTCGTCCAGAACACACCTAGAACCCCTAACTCGATCTACTATCCTTTCCACTAACTCAGCCTCTAACTCTGCTTACCTATTAACAATGAACTAATTAATTAAGGTCTATCTAGAGAACAGACTACCACATTCTTCTCGTCCAGAACACACCTAGAACCCCTAACTCGATCTACTATCCTTTCCACTAACTCAGCCTCTAACTCTGCTTACCTATTAACAATGAACCAATTAACTAAGGTCTATCTAGAAACCAGGTTACCACATTCTTCTCGTGCAGAACACACCCAGAACCCCTAACTCGATCTACTATCCTTTCCACTAACTCAGCCTCTAACTCTGCTTACCTATTAACAATGAACCAATTAACTAAGGTCTATCTAGAGAACAGGTTACCACATTCTTCTCGTGCAGAACACACCCAGAACCCCTAACTCGATGTACTAATCTTCTCAATAACTCAGTCCCTAACTGTGCTTGCTCATTAACAATCAACCAGACAGCTAAGGTCTATCTAGAGAACAGGCTATCACCTTCTTCTCGTGCAGAACACACCCAGAACCCCTAACTCAATCTACTAATCTTCTCAATAACTCAGTCCCTAACTGTGCTTGCTCATTAACAATCAACCAGACAGCTAAGGTCTATCTAGAGAACAGGCTATCACCTTCTTCTCGCGCAGAACACACCCAGAACCCCTAACTCAATGTACTAATCTTCTCAATAACTCAGTCCCTAACTGTGCTTGCTCATTAACAATCAACCAGACAGCTAAGGTCTATCTAGAGAACAGGCTATCACCTTCTTCTCGTGCAGAACACATCACCGGATATTACACCGGGGCGACACATGTCGAGGACATCGAAGAAGAGATATTACTCGAAAATTACCCTCATCCGAGCATCGGGCGCGTACCAAGGACGATCCTTCTCGCGCAGGGTCCCCGAAGGGCTCCTCTATTCCCCATTGGAAACTTATAAAACGCTGAACCGGCACATTTCACACGGCCAATTTGTTATCCCGTTCTTCCCTCAGCCCGGCACCCTCCGCGAGCTCTTCTTCCTTTATCAATTGTTCCCGAGGTTTTTCGCCCCACTCCCGCGCTGATCACCGTTTGATGAGTTCCTCGTTGGGTGAAATCGATATGCAAAACCGGACCCCGATATTCATTTTATCCACGCACCGTGCAACCAGGAAATTTGCATGGATTGATTATGGCGCGCCGTTATTATCGGGACAGGGTATCGCGGCGATCAACGGCTACAGCCAACGCCATTTCCGAGAATCTCGGAAATTTTTTACTCTCCCAATGCTAGGTCCCATGATACGAGCTTATCGCGTGTGTGTATCCCTGGTGTGGTTGGGGTTATGGCCGCTCAGATTAGAACGTTTGCTATGGACGAGTGTAACGTTTCAATCAGAGATACCGATCGAGAATTTTTTAAGATTTCTATGCAAAATCGGTTACGCGAAACGTGTGTGTAACAGAGGTGCAGATGAATGACCGATTAACGAGTTCCCTGTGGAAAACGTGTATACACATTGAGCACACCAGAATAGAACTTTGGATCGACGTGTATATTTTGCAAAAAGGTGTATACGCGTTGAGTCCGCTACAATGGAGCTTTGAATCAATGGTATACACGTTTTGTGTATACCAATATAATAAAAAATAAAGGAATGTAGAAAAATAAATAATTACCATTGATTATAGAAAATTGAAATTTCAATAAGACGAAATAAAAATGTCATTTTGTACTATGTTTTCTTTGTATTACCGATAGACCTGCAATATTTATTATGAGCCATTCATTGTACAAATTGATTAACTTCATAAAACAAAAAGTGGAGAAATGCAATTAAATAATGTAGTTATGAATATACCAAGTGCTTTCACGCTTAAATTTAAGATTTTTCAAAAAGTGGAGTTATTCGATTTGTGCAGTGAATGGCTCATATTCTACATGTATTGTGCGAATGGTGAGCGTGGTGTGATTACGGCATAAGGTGTCATTACCTGTGACAGTACCTTATGCCCCAATCACGCCACGTTCACCAATCTTCCTTTCTTTTTTTCATTCGTTATTTAATTTCTTTTTTTTTTCAAATAAAATACTGCGAGAATGGTGAGCGTGGTGTGATTAAGACATAAGGTCACCGACTGTGATAGTACCTTATGCCCCAATCACGCCACGCTCACCATTC